AAAGGAGGTTGTCATTTCGGATTCTGAAGACAATCAAAAACATCAAACTATCGAAAGCAACCATGACGATAGCTCTGATGATGACCTCCCACCCCCTCTTACTCCCTATTCAGATAAGGACAAAGAATCAGATGTTGAAGATATCAAAGGCAAAGGGCCACCACGTTCTTCACAAAAGAAACGCAGTAGAATGGTAAGATACACATTCATCCTTTCAATCCCTTTTGATTTTTTTCATTACTAATATTTTCATTTATATATTTATATTCTTCTCTTTGTTTGATTCCATTTATTAAGGAAAAAGGCCTCACAGCAGCTGAAATAGCATTAGACAGCACTGATAACGATGAGACCACTGAAAAAAAGCCTGTACGCCGCAGAAAGGGCCCAAGTGCGAAGGCTGAATCAACCAGCAAAGATCGCAAACCTTCTGCCGCTTCAAGTCGCCAAAAGTCATCTACTAAAACTTTGGCTGCTCGCGGCTTGGATCCTCTACCATCAATCGATCCGGCAAACGTTCGAACCAGGGATTTCAAGCATCCTCTAGCATCAGCTCTTCAAAGTGGAAGCCAACAGAAGATGGATATCCTGAAGGAAAATTCAGACTGGCGACACGAATTCGAGGACAAGAAGTACAATGAAGCGAAAGATAAGGAAATGCAAGCCAAAGTCGAATTGAGGACCGAATTGGATTGGAGCAGAGAGAAGTTTCACCTCAAGCGCCAAGAAGCCAAGGAAACAGCTGCTGCAGAGGCCATTGCCCTTGAACGACGTGATAGAAACCAACTAGCAAAAGAACTCGCTTTAGCAGGCAAGACACCACAAGAGGTTCTAGATTATTTAAATATCATCTTTCCCCCAAAGCCTGATAGCGAGATATCTCCCAAAGAGCCCAATGGCCAAGGTTTGCCGAACTTCTTTATATCCAGATGATGTCCTTTTCTGATTTTGATACTTTTATTTCATTTGAACAGTTTTGATTTGATTCTCCTGTCAAAGTCTTCAATCGTTTTTTATTTATTTCATCACTTCAAGATTTTAACTATTATTTTTGCTCTCATTCATTAGTCATCAATCAGTTTATTTATCACAGTATATCAGTTTATTTATTACAGTATCTTCCTTACCGGCGTTGTTTTTCGAATTCAATCAGTCAACCTTATTATCTTTCAATTGTCAATTTTATTATTTAATCAGTCAGTTTCATTATTTCCTTGCCGGTATTTCATCAATTCAAGACTTCAACCCGCATTCGTACTTTGCAGTATCTTCCTTACCGGTGTTGTTTTTCGAATTCAATCAGTCAACCTTATTATCTTTCAATCGTCGATTTCATTATTTCCTTACCGGTATTTCATCAATTCAAGACAAATCACAACAAAAATCAAAGTTTTCAAAACAATCAACCTACTGAAACATCAAATCAAAGTTATCGAATTCCTTAGTGATTCTAGAAATCACATCACTGTTTCAACCTATCTATCAAGTCAAAAAAGCGAATTCATACAACATTCACCCTCCTCTTCTAGTTGCTGCAAAACCATTTTGTTTTCGGTCTCATCTTTCAAGTCAAGTAATCGATCAAAATCACCCAATCACCACTTTTCAAACTTTCAAGTCAAGCAATCGATCAAAATCAGCCAATCACCACTTTTCAAATCAAACGTGTGTTATGTTACAACATCCAATCACCATCTGAAATTACCACCACCTAGTTAATCTGATTGCTCAGGGTCATTATTCAAGGATATTTTAGAATAATGCACAAATTTTTACTCCATAGACGCCCACTTTTTTTCTCCTTCACTTAGTGTAGAGTGCAAAAAGTTTAAAAATCCGAAAAAAATCTTCTGCTTCATTACAAAAACTTTGAAACATAAAAAAATTCTACTTCATTAAAAAATAAAACAAATGTATATTTCCTTTCTTCTTTTGTGAGTGGACTCTTTTGTAAATCAAAAAAACGTTTTGAAATGAATCTTTTTTGTTTGCATGAACTTCGAGATTGAGAAGCATTAAACAAAAGTTTTTCGAGAGAGAACTATTCAATAGGTATCATCAGTTACTAAAGTTTTTTGAGAGAGAAGTATTCAATGGAATTCCCACACACATCTTCAACATGAAAACAAAAAGGAGCTACGATTTTAATCAATAATGGGAAGGACGCCACTTTGCCAGCTGTAAGCAACAGCATGATCACGCACAAATTCCCTCATTGCTCTTCCGCGCTCCACCACATCAGCATCTAAATCCATGTCTTCCAAATTTGTGACAGCTGGCTGATCAATTTCATTATCGATGATTTCTTGTGCAATATCATCCCACGCATTTCCCAGGTTTGCGAGCATGTTATTAAGTATCACACAAACCCGAATCCAATCTAGAATGTGTGCCATGTCTTCCGGATTGTTCAATGCTAGGCGTAAGCACTGTAGTTAGGCCCAGCGGAGCTTACAAACCCCAATGGAGTGCTCGTTACATACTCGTACTTTGGCTACGCACCAGTTGAAGTCGCGATTCCTGCTAACCTCTGCAGCTTGCCCTTTGTAAGATGGGACAACTGTCTTGGTTGGTGTATACGCAGAGTCTGCGATGAGGTACTGGCCTGAAACACATGAATAGGAATGAGTCAGTATGAATCACGCGGATAGGAGGTCAAAAAACTTACCTTCATCAAAGTATTTATCTGGATTGTTGGCAATGTCGGTTTTGTTGTACACCGTACTATCACAACATGATCCTGGCCACCCAGCATAGACGTAAGTGATTCTTCGATCACAATCACAGATAATTTGGACATTGATGGAATATCTATGCTTCCGATCGAAGAACACCTCTCCATCAACTCCAGGTCTTTGAAATAAGGGGATAGTTGTCCCATCAACAAACCCAACACATCCCGGAAAGCCTTTGGCGTCGAGTACATGAGAGATGGCCTTACGCCTTTTGCTGTTTGGCCATTGAAGGTAAGATTTGCCTCGATCTAAGATTGCTTTGATGACCCGGCGTGTACAGTTGATGATAGCTCCACGGCTGACTTTATAGTTTCGAGCAAATCTACCGACGGAGGCACCATTTCCGTTGCTGCCTAAGCGCTCCAAGGTGATCGCAAGCTGTTGTTCAATAGGTGGTGGTGGATTCCGGCTAGATGAAAAGAAAGCTGGGTGGTCTTCTATCAACGCAAGAAGGGCGTTGAAGCCCTCAGGAGATGTTCTCATAGCCTGTTGAAAATCAGTACGTCTATCGCGTAACATGTCGTTTAAATTGAAGGGACTGGCTAGAGGAGCGCGAAATCGTGGGACCAGATATCTTGTGTTTGAAACCAACATAAGGCATTCGGCCCATTCATCTTCGCTGTCAAACAGGTGATCGTAGACTTCAGCCATCTCAGGATTGTCGGGGTAGAACAAACTGCCATCAGTGGGAAAATCTTCCGTGTCTTCGGCTCCATCTATCCCAGGTAGTGAAAGGGGCGATTCCGCATGTGCAAAGATACACAGGTCAGTGAGATCACGGAGCGTCTTTGCTCGTTCTGACATTCGAGGCCATCGAACTGATTCGAGATGGTTCAGGTAGGAGAGGTTTGATTTACTTTGATTGGTGTTCTGGTCCAAGATGATGATGATGATGATGTAAGGCTGAGATGTGGAGCCTCTTCACTCAGAAATCAAGTTGGCTCTGAGTCTGATCCCTGTACCAGTGGAGAGAGATTGAGGTTTCATGGTTGATCATTGAGCATTGGCAAAAAAAAATGTCTGTTGGACTCATTTGTGCCTTTATCTCAAAGGCGTTGTAACTTATATTTACGACATTTTAAGGAATTCGAGCAGGCTTTTTACGCGTGCTCGTGTCTTTAAAAACCTGCTCGCTTCCTTTTTTTCAACTGCTCGGAATCTCAAACTTGAACTGCCCTAATCTTACACCCCGCTTTTGGAACACCTAAATTCTCCACTTAAGGCATGTAACCCATTCAAAAGCATCCAATGCTCTAAGTACTTTTGCCTATCGCTTTTGTTTAACAAAAGAACTGCGTCATCTCGAAAACTTTTGAAACAGTTAAATCCTTGATTTAGGTATGGAACCCATTCAGAAGCATCCAATGTTGAAATCACTCTTTGCCCATCGCTTTTGTATAACCAAGGCTAACTACGTCATCTCGAGATACCCAAGCTTGCACTTTGACAACGGCTGCCCTGTCACATGTGTGATTCTAACGTGTAACCTCACGTAAAGACAAAAGCGGGGTGGGTCAAAGTAACACCGTGCAAAGTAGACCCGGTTTGGAAAAAACCCCAGCTGACCCAGACTGCACTTGACTCGAATCATATAGTGTTGAACATGTTAATGTCTCATTGACTGAGAATAGATCGTGAAAATTGATTGTTTTTGTCTACTTTTCATGTCCAAAACTGGCCTTGATTTTTCTGCTCACATATGTTAAGTGAGCCGGTGGTTTAGTGGTCAAGTAGTGCCAAATCTGTGAAAAGAACTCCGTTTTCAGAATCATCTGGGGATACGGGCGGGGCTAATACATCTCCGACAGATCCCTAGGACATCTCACCATAGCAAAAGTATGAGCAAAGAAACAGTGACTTGGCTCATAGATGAAATTCAATTTTCTACACTAAGGAGTAGGTGAGCTTTGTGTATAGCCACTATCAAGTTTTGATGAGATTTAATTAATGAGCACTCGTGAGTTACACTGGCATAGACAAGAAGACCAACATACTACAAAAGTATAGCAAGATTCAAGAAAAAAATTGAAACAAAGCAAAGTGTGAAGTTGTTTTGAGTTTTCAAGATACAATAAGATAACTTTTGTTGTCCGGAGACTTTTTCCATCACCACCTCAGGCTCCAGTACTCCAAAACCCAGCACCTCAGACTACGTAAATAGGGAGAACTGATGTAAGTGTTTTTATCACCTGTCTCTAACAACATGTAGTGCCGAGGAGGAAATCAAGAGAAAACTCCCGGAGTATCCCAAGAAGGGGAGATGGTCTACCAATCTCTGAAAATGACCTCATAATGCTGATTTCTTAGGGAGAGAAAAGCTGTCCCGCTGGAAATATTATCCCACGACTTCTCAAAGATATCAACATCACCATTGGTCTCCTTAAGCACTACAAACTTGCGTAGAAGATCAAAAGCCATGGCGGTCAAGGTGTGATCGTCCCCGTACGTCCCATCTTGGGCCATTTCCTGCAAGTATTCCTGCCAGTCTCCTGCAACAGATGGCCTGTACCAATCTGGGTGTTCCCTTAAGTGGGCAACAGCCTCCCCTCTAAGCCATTTGTGGTAATTTTGATGTCCGTACGCTATCAAAGATACTGCTCGAAATTGGCAGTTCCCGTCACCCTCGACATAGTCTGTGATAGAGAAATCTTCGAGACCTGCAAGTTTGAAAGCACTACTTCCCTGTATAGCTTCATCATAAACAATATCATGATCTTTGTAAAGATTCAGGAGCTCTCGGTTTGCTGTTCGGTAACCAGCAGATATTCCTAATGAGGATGAGAATGAATCAACATATGAGCTCTTCACGTTCACAAGCCAACACCCAAGTCAATCTTACTTGCCCTTTATCCCAGTATTTGCAAAATCTGTAATTAAAAATAGAGCTGAAACCCATAACCCCTTGAGAAGCATTTTGTGGCAACCTGATTCCTTTTTCTACTGAAAGTTAATCAACTTTTGGACTAAAATATCCCTGAAATCGAAATTGATACACAGTCCCCCTTGAAGAAGAGAACACCAGGAAGATACACGGATAACTAGCTAAGGAAAACTGTTTCCAAATTGTTACCAAAAAAATGAAGAAGGGTTAGTTGATTTCAAAAGCATAATGACAGACAATTTTTTCTCGCAGCTCACGTGTGCACAACACTTAATGTAATGAGCGGATATTGTAAAAACAATAATGTAGGATGAAGTTCTTGATAGCGTAATTGGTTGTGAGTATTAGTAGATCGCGAATGATTGTTCAAAGAACGGCAGAAAGAAGATCATAGAACAGGCCACAGCAAAGCCGATCAGAATCCGGTTGAAGTTGGCGAGTATTTATAAAGAGCAACGAGAGCGATCCCACTTGTTTCCACATTCATGTTACGTGGCCTCGGGACAACACCTGAAAGATGATTGCTTATCATGAGAGCGGATGATTCCGGAAGCGTTTCATATGTTTTTACTCTGCCCGATGCCACATCTCTTAATCGTGGCAGACTCTTTGAAATTGATGCCTCCAGGTGATCCAGAGGCTGAGCTGAGTTGACTGTGACTTTGTAACGAGTTTTTCGTGACTGAATTGGCTTCCACTTAACTTTGACGATGAAAGGTTTGTGGTGGATGCGGTAGAGTTTCAGTTCCAAAACCAAAAAAGTAAGATGGTTTTTATTTAGTAAGCAACACGTGAGGGATCAATCTGCGCATTTATATCGCTCTCATCATCACCAAGATACGTGTCAAAGAGTTGAAGTTTGGCTGTTGAAGACACCACCAAGGAATCCGACATCCTAGAGCCTCATGGTGGATATGTACTCTAAATCCTACATGCTTCTAGATGTAATATAAGCTTCCGTGAGCCAGTCTGATAGGGTGTTTTTCTGTTGACGACCTGACGTGGCACCCTTCAGAACCTTTCCGGAAGATTGGGACCGGTGTACCAGAGTTTTGATCGTGAGGGTAACGTGAAGGACAATCTCGAGTGATCGTGTGCCATGATTGAGACAAACTTTCGCTTTCAAGATGAACAAGGACCAAAACCACACAGATAAAGTGAAAAACGTAATATTCGTTCAGTTTTAAGCCTCCGAGTGGAGTATACAACTGCGCCTTTTGAATTCTTGCATGCCCGCCTGACTGAGCATCAGAGAAAGAGGCGTGGAGCTTCGGCCATCATGTTTTTTGGGATTGCTTTCGAGGTACATAAGTTTTGATTTGTAGTGCAGACTCAGTGCAAGCCCAAGGTCACGAAGCGAAACTGGGAGTGAGTCACGAATAATCAGATCACAAAAACTAGGCGTCGTACAATAACAATCAGAACAAGAATACCCCAATACGTACAATGCTGAAGAGGTTAATGTCGAATTGGTGGAATGATGAAAGATATGAAAGAAGCTCGACTGCACTTTGAAAGGAGCTGCCCTGTCACATGTGTGTAACCTCATATTTGTGTATAGAGTCGACAAAGTGGAAGTGGAAATGAGCGAGAAAAGGGTTTGAGGTTGATTGGTCTCTAGCTTTCTTTCTCTTTCTAATTCACCTCATTCATACTCGACTCCAATCTCTTCGAACCTCGGCCAACAATGATCAAACAGAGTCGGTAAACATTGAATACTTCTTGGGTATCACCACGCCAAACTTCCAAAGGCTCTTCGGATGTATTGCAGGGTGGGGATTAACTGGAGCACAAGAGCACTAGCACAATAAACTCGTTTGCCTGGTTGGCGCCATTACGACCGTCCAAACTTTTCAATTCAAGAGTACCTTAGATTCGACATACGATGACGATAGATATGCCTCACGTGCTCGTGTGCTCTCTTTAGAATCGGGATGTTAACGGTGTTTGATGACCTGTTAACCCTTTGCACAATTTGCTTGGTGCGCCCAATTGAAAAACCTGCAAGTCGCTTTTAAAAAATCAGTGCATTCACGAGTACACAAAAGTGCATCGCCGAAGCTCGCTCATAGCTTCCGGACAAAACGAGTATGCATGACGTGAACGCCTCGGCCTACACCCGAACCCTTTGGCGATTGCCCGCATTCAGTCTTTCTCTTCACTGTCTTTGCCGAAGATGTGTTTGCTGTTGCAAGCTTTCTGGAGCTGATACATGTGTAACCAACTCGCATCGTACGTTCTGTCGTGGCGGTTCTTTGGCTTTTGCATCTTCAGACCGCTTTGTCCGGCGCCTACCGCTACTAGTCAGCAGTATTGAGAACACGTATAACGTCAAGTCATATTTCTGCAGGTAGCGGATATATGGTATATGGAAGAGTATATATGATACACATCCATTTAGATCATTAGTTGAGTGCTTGCTTTCTCAAGGGTATCCATTTCTGTTTTCTGATCGTTGCTTATTCCGAGCTTGTGAACATCCTCAGGATCTTGTCATCAGTGGTCCTTCAGAAGTAAACGTTCAACGATGACGAACATAACCTATGGCCGTATAACTTCCAACTCAAACAACAATATCACTACCACTGGTGGAGGAACTGATTTGATTGCAACACTTGACAGTGGAAAAATCATTGCTTATAGCCCTGGAGATATTGCTTGGGTTCTAGCGTGTTCGGCATTGGTATGGTAGGTTTGCGTATGTTCCATTTGATCCTTGAATATCTGACGGATAGACTTCGTTTTACGACAGGCTTATGATCCCTGGGGTAGGATTCTTGTACAGCGGCCTCGTGCGCGGTAAAAACGCTTTATCACTTCTTCTCCTTGCTTTTCTCTCAATGGCAGTGGTATCCGTCCAATGGTGGTTTTGGGGCTGTGAGTTTTGTTCCAACTTTCCCAATTTTTGGTATAGGCTTCCCGATCGACTGCTGACCCGATTGTGATGCCCCTTTCTCCATCAATAGACTCACTTGCCTTTTCTTCAAGTTCTGGATTACTTCTTGGGAATTTGAAACATATAATATTTCGAGGTGTCTTGGAACAACCCGAACCCGCCGCGAATAACAAGGTAAGTTCGTAAACCTAAACCTTCTGAATTGTTGAAGGCAGCACCAAAACAAGATCACAGGAAAGAAACCTGACGACCAAAACTAGATTCCCAGAATTGTCTTTGCACTCTATCAAAACATGTTCGCAGCACTCGTACCAGCTGTCGCAATTGGTGCAGCGGCCGAACGAGGACGAATTGGCCCTTCTATGATTTTTGTTTTTGCTTGGGCCACAGTAGTGTACTGTCCATTGGTGTCTTGGATTTGGAATCCAAATGGATGGGCATTCAAGTGGGGTGGTAAGAACAGCTCATTAGTAAGCGTTGAATGCTTCGCAGTAGACTTATTCCTCACCGGTTCTATAAACTCTATGATACCTCGCAGTGTTGGACTATGCGGGAGGAGTACCCATCGAGATATGTTCGGGAGCAACCGGTCTTTCCTATTCCATCTTTCTTGGTCGTAGGCGAGGATTTGGAACTCATATCCTCAATTTCAAGCCCCATAACACGTCACATATAGTTCTTGGGACCGCGTTACTTTGGGCCGGATGGCTTGGTTTCAACGGTGGAAGTGCATATGCTGCTAACATAAAAGCAGCATTGGCAATATGTGTAACTAATCGTAAGGAATATCTTTCTCGGGGTATAAATCCCATAGTGATTGAAGTGTTGCTTTGCATTTGTCGGGGCTGGATCTTGCTGGTTTAAGTGGCTGGATCCGTCGGCGGGATTGTTTGGATGCTAATGTTGGTGAAAAAAGACAGCAGCAAGAAACTCCATCACAAATTAAGCTCACGCTACTTCTTCAATCTTCGAAACCAGTGACTTTCGGTTGGAACGTAAATGGTCCTGTGTAGGGTTGGCCACTGGATCCTTGTGCGGTCTGGTAGCCATTACACCAGCTGGTAAGTGAACTTCATCGAATTCCTGGAAATGATTCGGGATTCAAATTGCTCACCATACGGTTGTTTTATAGCGGGTTGGTCAGGATTATGCCCATCTCACGGAATTCACCTGTATTCTGACTTCGATATATCTTCCAATCCACCATCATAGGTTTTGTAGGCATGCCTGCTGCCGCACTCATTGGCGGTTTGGCAGCAGCCATATCTAACCTACTCACTGCCTTTAAACATTTATTCAACTTTGATGATGCTATGGATATTTTTGCCTGTCATGCAGTCTCAGGTCAGACTTCCAGGCCTTTGCCGATTTTCATCGATAACTAATTCGATCAAATCATGATATCTTACACGTTTTTGAACAGGAGCCGTAGGTCTTATTCTCACAGGAATCTTTGGAAGCAAATCCCGAGCTTCCAGTGATGGATTCTCAAACATTGGGGGCGGTTGGGTTGATCATAATTGGAAGCAACTTTACAAACAGTTAGCTTGGGTAATTGCTGGATTCGCATGGAGTTTTATCATGACATATATCTTGTGAGTTTTCTTCTAATAGGATTTGAGACGTGATACTGTTGATCAAAGATTAACTTGTATTTCTGTTCTTCAGGATGTACTTTATAAACCTCTTACCACACTTTCAATTCCGCATCGACGAAGAAGGGGAAGTTGTAGGAACAGATGTAGATCAGTGCGGTGAAAAAGTCAACGTGCGTTTTTTTATTTCCTCAAAGCCTTTTTTTGTAAATCTCATTTTTTTGAATATGAATCTCTCTATTTC